CCTAGTGAATTTCCACTCCCATGGCTTAAACACCCAATAAGATCAAAGATCAGCATTCAATTATTCTTAATTACTACCATCTCCCGATTGGCAACAATCTAGAATAAACTTCCCCTAATAAGTTCCCCTTTCCCAAGGACCAACCATTAGGTGCAATCGTGTGTGCCCTAATTTATGCCCCAACTCCCATTGGTGACACAAACATGGCTATGAAGCTAGTAACTATGGCCATTAATTACAAGCATCAAACAATATTATCACGATTGCAACACAAGTATTAAACCCAAATAATAATATATTAAAGAAACTGAGAGCTCAGGCACATAGGTTCATAAACACTTTTACCCAAGAATCTCTAAAAAATTTAGCCAAGAATGACTAAATTATACATGGCAAATATAAATAAAGAATTACAAATCATCAAAAGAGTACAAGAATTAACCAGACGATTTTCCCAAATCTCCCTAGTCTTCTTCTTGCTTTCCAAGACAACTTGTGGCTCTTGATTTCTCTCTTTCTTGTCTCCAAGAATCTCTGAATTCTCTCCGTCTCCCCGTGCTCCCATTAGGGTTGAGGAAGGAGGGATTTTATAGTGGGTACAAAGTTGAGATGAAATAGGAATCTTGTACCAAATTGGACTCAAATTCTAATTCCTATATTTAAATAAAGAAATTGTCGTCTTTAATGATATTTAGAATTTGGAAGATTCCTTGAATTGCTAACTTTTAATATGGAGATATGAGCCTTGAAATCCGCGCAATTGATATTAGGAAAAGAGATCTCGCGCGTGTATTGAATTTTGCCCAGCTGCGCCACTTTAAGCGTCTGTTTTTTTATCCGCGCCACTTTAGGCGTCTGTTTTTATCCCAGAAACAGACGCATATTCGACGCGTCGAGACTTCCTGTGCGCGAATTGGTTAGCTACTGGAAAATTTCGACGTGTCGAGCCCTTGGCTCGACGCGTCGAGTCCACTGGGCCCCGAACTCATCCAAAATTGCTCCAAACTCATCCTTGAACTCCCCTTGGTCATATCTTTGACTTAAAATGGTTCAAAAACACTAACAAACACCGTAAAATATTCAAAACAAGTGTGAACCATAATTAAATGATAATTGCAAGGAAAACATGTATTAAATAAGCAAAATTAAAGAGCTTAATTACTGTGATGATTCAAAATAACCATAAAAACAAGCACAGATGTGATAACATCAGGTGCCCCCGGAAAGGTATTCATCATGAGCCGCACACAAGCCGAACTCGGGGACGAGGGAGATCACAACGAAGAAAACATGACCCCAGAAGACGAGGATCACGCAAATCCACCCGAGGAAAATCAAGAAGATGAGTTCTGTTTAGGATAAACTAAGAAACCCTTGTAACCACCCTTATAGTAAAACTGCTTGTTTAGTTTAACCACTTCGAAATTACTTTGAGTAAGATCGAAATATTTTAGCATAAGTAAGGGGAATTAAACATCGACAAACCACGAGGAGGGCCAATCAAATCCCCTACCACGAGGAGGGCCAACCTAGTCCAGCCGACGACATGCAGAACACGGCATTCCTTGAGGCCGTGCCTTCGTCGCTGATTGAGCTGCGCCATCACCGGAAATCCATTGTTGATTGTGCTGAATGAGAAAACGACGGGAAAGGATGGATTTTTTTTGTTTTGTTTTTTAAATGAAAAAAAAAACCATCATCTCCTCCAATCAACAATGACCGCCGGCGACCGGAATTCCAAAGAGAACACGTGTGAAGTAGTAGGAAGCAGTATCATAATAAACTAATTATCCAAATTGATTTTTTTTTTTGTTACTTAATGCGGAAAAAAAAAACTTAATTTTTCAACAGCCCAGACTTACAATTGCATACAATTATTCAAATACGTATCTCAAATATTCAAATATCATATATATATATATATATATATATATATATATATATATATATATATATATATATATATATATATATATATGCAATTAAAAGAACCAGGCAGAGATTATACATGCGACTGATATCAACTGTTATAATAAATACGTCACATGCAAACTATAATATGTGACACAGGATCGTACTAACATCCAGCCATAGTTCTTGTATTGATGATGATTGAATGATCCGGACTGCTGCAGAGATAACACGAGTATTTTGTCTCTCACTTCTACTCAGCTCTCTCTAGATGGTGTATGAGGAATGTAATATGAGCAGTGAGATGACTAATGATCTTATATAACCACTGGCCATCATTGTGGTTGTATGTCTTTAGGTCTCCTAAACCCTAACCAGACTCCTAATCATAATGGTAGTCTAGCTATTAGGTTATTAGGATGAGAGAGGAAAATCAATTCAGTTTCAGAAGATAGGAGTTACAATACTAAAGAGATTAGGTTACGTAATCTTCTCCTACCTAATAGACTAATCTAAGTCAAACTAACTAACACCACATAAAATAATAATCCTATTACAATAGAAATAATATAGAGAATAATAACATTACTAACGATTAGTGTTGCACCACATATCAAATACTTAATATTATTATAACTTATCCTAATGTTATAATAATAACTTATAAGAAAACGTTACAAGATATATATTGTGAAGTGTATTTTTGTTGTGAGTAGGAACACGAATGATGAAAATTATTTGGAATTACCAGCCATTATTGGAATAAATAAAGGGAGCTTTTGAGTTTCATAAAAAGAAAAGAAAAAAAAAAGAAGATTATGGCTACGATCCACAGTTGGAATCATAGATATCTATGCAGGACGTGAAGTTCTTTTGAAAATTGTGGTTCAAGCTATTCTCTCATATGCAATGAGTGTCTTCCTTTTGCCTAAAGAGTTAGCTGGAGAGATGGAGAGCTATGAATGCATATTGGTGGGAAGGTGGTTGTGGTGAAAGGAAAGAAATCAAATGGAAAGCTTGGGAGGTCTTTGTATGCCTAAGAAATGGGGTCGAATGTGGTTTCGTAGATTAAGGGATTTTAATGTTGTTAGGATCGATGCGGTTCACAACACCAAAATACAATAGCAACTTGAACTAAAAATACTGAGAATAAATTTCTAGTGTAGGATTTAGAATAAATCATACACAAAATAAGGCAAATTGAATAAGCATGTTCTGTATTGGCAAAAAGATATTACAATAGGAATTACAAATATAACTCTTTATTTTTACTCTCTGGATTTTGCTATACTACTCTCTGTATCTCGAATGGGATGAACAAATCTGATGGGATAATTTACAATGAAAGGAATTGCCTATTTATATCAAACCATGTGCCTAGAAATTTCCAAGCATTTAATGCTATTCTTCTCTGCAAGCAAAAAACTTAACATAGGCTTTTTCCCTTACACAAACCTTAGCCCAAGTTTTTCCCTTTAGGAGAAACATATGCCCAAGCATTTGTCTTATTTAAACCTATTCCCAAAACCTCATCTCAAGCATTTGTCTTATTCAACCCTATGCCCATGCTTTTTCCCAAACAAAATCTCCTCTCAAGCATTTACTCCTCCAAACCTCATCCCAAACAAAACCTTAGCCCAAGGTTTTAAACCTCTGTCCATTTCTACATTTGATTATTTACAAATGTGGCTATGTTATGTAAATAATCCTGGCGTATCATGCAATATCTTGATTCTTTTGTGGCAAGGATTTATAAGTATAGATATTTCCCCAACCCTTCTTTTCTAGAGGCTAGGATTCTAGGAAAGATTATATCAGTTCTTTTATTTTGTCAAGCTTGCAAGAGACCCAAGAGGTTATTAGGAGACATTCTAGATGGAGGGTGGAAACAGGAAACAATGGTCCTGTTTGGTAAAATGGTTGTTAGCTGATAACTGTTAGTTGTTAACTGATTGTGTTAATTAGAGGGTATAAACAGTTGATAACATTAGTTATTGTAGAAAAGTATTTGGTAAATTAGCTGCTAGCTGATAACTGTTTGGTATAATTTCTTTTCTCAAAAAACTAATTGAAAAAATTACTTGGAGTAGCTTTTTGAATTTTAACTTTTTAAAGTTGCAAAAAACTAATTAACCAAAAATTTATTTTAATATTTTAATTAAATCAAACAATTAATAGTGGTTAAATAAGCCAAAATTGACCTATAGGGCAATTTTTTTTTACCAAACAGGGCCAATATCAAAATTTGGCATGACTGCTAGCTCCCTGACAATATGAATACTAAAGTATCAACTTTTCCTTACCCCCCTCATTGAGCAGGGTAATGTGGCATCACTTCTAAATTTACAAGGGGATGAGGAAATTATTAAAGACACTTTCAATGAAAGAGATGCCAACCTAATACTTAATATTCCTATTGCTAAGGCAAACATGGAAGACAAACTGATCTGGATGATGGAGGATAGTGGCAAGTTTAGTGTGAAAAGTTGTTATAAGGCTCTTTCTGGAGAAGCTAATATTAAATGCAGTGGAAGAATGGACATCAATGTGGAACCTGCGAAAATAAAGAATTTCTTTTGGCAAGTATGTACAAATTAAACTGCCTCCCCATAACGGATATTTTGATAGCAAACAAAGTTGATTGCCCTAGACATTACCCTGTGTTTAAATGCTGATGAATCTATAGGGCTTGATAGAATTTGGTTGGAAGTTTCTTTAATATTGGGGCTATCATTCTTGTATAGATCGGATATCCTCCGGATTTTATTTGTACTGTTTTCGGTTCGGATATGTTTTCTTAGTGTAATGTGCGGTTTATAAATGTGGTTTACCTCTATTGTTGACCCAATCATCTTTAAATAATGATTGCGTGTGATTAAAAAAAATTTGTCCTTTTGCAAGCAACTAATCTCAATAGGGAAGGAAGTACTGAATTATCACACAAATAGAGTTGGAAACATTTTGAAGTGAATTCCAATTTTTTTTGGCATTTTATCGAACAACTCGCGGACGAACTGGGATAACAATTGAAGTTAACTGTTAAACTTCAACAATGAAGGATTAAGAATTCTGAAGGAAATAAGGAATAATGGTAGTAGAACAGAACATTCTTTCATTTAGAAAACTAGTATTCAAAACAGGTAGAAATACACTCATAAATAGAAAAATAGTTAACTCTCTGAATTAACGAAATAATTTAATATACATTGCGACATAACTGGAAAGAAACCAGAGCACAACAACCAGCCCATCTCTCATGAATGTAAGGTGCAATTAGAAGTGGTTGAAACTCATCTTCAACTCTTGGACTTGGAGTGTTTAACCAGCCAATCGATAACAGAGTCGATATTGGTAGAGTTCTTGCAAGAGATCATGAAGCAGCAAACCTCTCGGTCAGTTATTGATTTCAGTCCCCTACAGAATTCACAAAAAAGAACAATGGTGAAATCTGGAGTTCAATATAGAAACAAAAACAAGCAATGAAGACGAAAATGGAGAAATCTCGAATGAGATCCCCCCGCTTACATCTGATCAGTCAAAGCTTGCTTGGATAAGGCACCAGGTTTGTCAATCTTGTTGCCCAATACGAGCAATGGGATTCCGCTCAATGATTGCTTGCTCAGAAGGTCATGGAGTTCGCTCTTTGAAATGCTGAAGTTATCACCATCAGCAGCGTCCACAACATAACTGTCGCAAAGAACTAGGTTAGATCCATTTGCATTACCTCGTCCTCGTTTAACTGATCATATATGATATTTGCCACACTATATCATAAATCCTTATCAAAAAAAGATGGAACCGAACTCAAGGAGCTCAACTAGACCAAACCTTATCTAGTTATTATCGTTGTTTAGATACACTGATGACACACTGATGACGATGATAAACAAGTTAACAACAAAAAAACCGGGAAAGAGAAACGTACACTATAGCAGAAACTGCACGACAGTATCTCTCCCACATACTACGGAATCTTGGTTGACCTCCAAGATCCCACAACTTTATGGTGACATTGCCTTTAGTCACCTTTCGCATATTAAATCCCACCTGATAACACACAATAACTCTTTTCATTATAACAAAATCCAAAAGTACCAGCTAAGATTTGAAAGTGGAAAAGGTTGATTGAATCTAAAAGTTCCCATCGAATGAACTTACCGTTGGTATCATGTCTTCACTATATCCACCAGTCTAAGAACGAAAATGAGTGAGAAGCCATTTATAAAATCATTAGACCCAACAAAATTATATGGCAGAAAAATATAAATGAAAACTAGAGAGACCCTAGGCTTTATCTCCGATTATATACTTACAGCAATAACATTTACAAGAGAAGTTTTTCCTGCATTCTGCAGCCCTATCAAAGAAAGCTCCATTTCCTGCTTGAAAAAGAGGCTGAAATAACAGTTGAAACTTGTAAGCACTTGTAATTCATGAAATCATCAGTCTGAGATAGAAACGGCAATTCACTACAGTATTTGAACAAGAAGAATAGAAGAAAGATGCATTTAAAATTCAGTATGTCATATGACACAAGTTTTGAAAATTGAAACACTAATGCTAGAAATCAGTTCCATGATTCGTTACCAAAGAGCTCACTTTTGCTCAAGGCCAAACTATTTCTAGAATATCGCTTTGCCATAATCCGAAATTCAACTTTCCCTTTGCCTAGCATTTAAGGTTTGTAGAAAAAAATTACAAAATGACACTCAGAGGAAAGTTCTAATTTACCACAATCCAGAGAAAAAGAACTTTCGTTTGCCATAAAAGAAGATGCTGGATTGCAATTGAGAGATTACTGAGCTAAACGCATTCAAAGTGCATGCAAGAACATCAAAATTGCACATTTTTTCAAGTTAATTAATTTCATTAAGCCATTAAGGGAATCTACAGAAGATAAAAAAAAAAAAAAAAAAAATCAAAAAAAAAAGAAAAATCTTCAGGTTGTAAACACCAACACGAATATTCAGCACACCCTTCCTGGAGTAAAAGGTTCATCCTTTAAACATAGGCACAAAGCCAAGAAACAGTTTTTAAGCCAAAATCTTAAACACAACACTCCTCTCAATACATATTTCCTGTCCCCCTCCCCTTCTTAGAGGTGAGTCCATGGTGGCCAGGCCATTAAATTGAATAGGAAAATACAGCATATTCGCTGATTGTGACAAAAACAAAAAATTCACAAGAATAGTATCAGCATATCAGTCATTCACCCAGCAAGCACATATCAATGGTTCACACCACCAAATTCATATTCCAGACACCAGATAACAAACTAAACTGATCAAAATCTTGTAAAATTAACTTTGATAAAATAAGAGAAAACAAACAAACCTCATTGGAGAAACACAAATTCACACCAGAATTTTAAAACAAACAATTTTTTTAAAAAAAAAAAAAAAAAAAAACATAAAGCAGAAAACGGATCCTAAAACCAGGGCCAAAACAAAAACTTGTTAAAACAACACCAAATACGAAGAATACAAAACAATCCATACTCAAAGAATTCACGGCATGAAAACAGTAAAACATATTCGAAAGAAAATTGGAAAACAAAAGCATTGCCATCAAAATTCAAAATCTTCCAACCGAGGGTAACATTTATAGAGAGAGAGAGAGATGGGATGGGTTCACCTTCTTAGCCAATTCAGAAAAGCTTCCCAGAGACCCATGGCTGACACAGACGCGAGGAATCGGAAACGCGAAGAGAGAGAGAGAGAGAGATCTGCAAAAATCCGAGTTTGGAAAGCAGAGAGATCTCTCTGAGAGAGACACTCCCTTTCTGATCCTAAACTCCGAATCGAAACTCCGCTAATGATTATCGTACGTAAAAATCAGCATATGCTGTGTGCCAAAAAACAGCGAATTTATCATTCATCGCGATTTGTATCCCAATCAAAGAAGGATTCTTATGGCAGGTGAAAATCTAAAATAAATTGCGAACTGACCCCGTAAAAGTTTGTTATTTATGGAAGAGCCCCTTCTTGATAGGCTGGCAGCTAGATTTTGCTGTCGTATTAGTAACGTGGACCAATAATCGAGTGTTGTTTTGCTGTATTAGACTCGCACTCGCCAAGAACGGCGCGTGCATTACACCCCTGTGTTGATTTGAATTTTAATTGGTGGCTGGGGCAGGATTCTATAATGATTTGGACGGTGGCGATATGTCGTCGTGGCGAAGGCATATAGGTTTAGTTCTTGTTAAATCCATAATATTTTATATTATTAATTTATGTCAAACTCTTAAATACGGAGTATAATATTTAATATTTTGAAGGAGATTGATAATAGTTAGTTTAAACACAAAATTTGAATTATATATTCAAACTAGTATTTGTACCCGTGCGATGCACGAAATATATTTGTTATAATATATGAATTATAATTTGTTTCATATTCGATAGTGTATATTTTTACGTTGAATTAAAGCTTGTATGAGTGTTTCGAAATTGAATTAATTGGTCTCATTATTTTTATGTGTAGTAATTTAGTTATAGAAATTTTTGTAACAAAATATATACGTAATATGTAGATATGTAACAATTTTATTATATTGGTGCACGCAGAATATATAATATAACTGTTTCGAATTATACATTGTTGAAAATCTCTTTGTAGACGACATTAGTAGTAGTAACATAAGTTTGTCCATCATCGTCTATAGCTAAAACCTTAAGGCCATCAGGATGAGTGACTCGGGAAAAAAGTCACGTACAATTGACCGTGATTAAAGACTGGTTTTTTCAACAATAAGACGACATGAGTTAGTGTTTGACCCTAGCTTTTGTTGATAGTCATTGCATATGCTAGCATCAACGAGAATTGTTTACACTGGAACTTGAACGACAATCTCGTATCAGAAGGGGTGAGAGTCATTCGTGGTATAAGAACTTTGGTTCCTTGCTGCGTTCCATTAACTATTCTTGCTTCGACAATATGATCCGCCAATCTTGTAACGATGAGGCGCGTACCGTTACAAAGACCAAGAGAGTGGTCTATGTTCCGCAGTAACATAACAAGTGCCCTAACCTTTATTGTCAATGAATGATTAGGAAGTCCAGACAATCTCAAGCTATTTAAAAATTCAGGAGTGTGTACTTGTGAGAGATTATCACCATCTGATTCTGCCTTACACAAAGAGTCACAGCTTAAATACGTCCGACCTTCTACAGTGATCATGTCACACATATACTGATTAATCTGATCAACAACATCTAAAGTGAGTGAGAGTATTGCTCGTCCTTCTAGGTGCGACTCTTCTAGCATTCCATAATTTGTGGTTGGGAAGATGCTTTCAACTATAGTTGCAATTGGATTAGGCCCACACTTCAACATAAACCTTGGTGGAATATCGATTTCAAACAAACCGTTGTTTACAAACCCTGTAATCCTATCTCCGATGTCTGCAATCCATCTTGAGAACCAATCAACAGTTTGTTTATCTTCGTTTGAAGCTAAGCTCTGTAGTCTCAAGTTCTTCGTGAGCCTCAATACCTTGCAATTCCTCCAGAGATATGAAGAATTAATAGTGGCTCCCACAACCATTGTCTCGTTGATTTTGGAATAACTGGAAGAATCTGTCTAAAATCACAGCCCAATACTACTGTATTTCCACCAAATATTTTCTGATCACTCCCAGGTATGGTGAATCGCAATATATCCCTCATAGTTTTGTCTAAAGTCTCAAAATAGTATTTCTGTGTCATCGGTGCTTCATCCCATATTATCAATCTGCTCATGCCTTGCGAGATATTGCAGGTGGAATCTTCATTCACTGAGAGTGGTATAGCAAATCGAGAATGCGCCGTCCTGCCACCCAGCAATAGCAAAGATGCTATTCCACTTGAAGCAACGTTTAGAACAATATCTCTGCGGCTCCATATCTTTGAAGATAATGTTCTCCACACGAACGTCTTGCCTATTCCTCCGTAACCATACACAAAAAACAATCCCCCTCCATTAGAATCAATATCATTAATGACAGAGTCGTAAACAACCTTCTGTTCGTCCGTCAATTAGGTTACCAATGTTTCATGCTCTGCTTTCAATGATTCTTTGTCGTACGCCAACTCTTCGGATATCAACATGTTTTCCGTCATTCCAATGCTATTTTGTTCTGGAATTGGCATTTCTGGATAGTCGCTCAGGCTCTTCCCCCACAAAGACAGTAACTTGTCTAACTCGACCAGAGCAAATTGTTGTTTATCGTATTCCGATAGCAACAAATCTACATAGTTTAGAAACAAAGCGAAAACATATTCAAAAAATTGGTTTTTGTATAAATCATGAAAAGCAAATAATAATGTCCAATAAAGAGATTGCATGTTGATGTACCTGGATTGTGCATGAGCCTTCAACGATGAAACTGTGCATCCTCTGCAAGTAATTGCCAGACGGCATTCCACACCACCTTAGGTCTAGTGATTGAACTTGAAGTGAGCAACGTAGCAAACAACCTTCGCAATGCAGACGCGGATGCCCAGTAACTGGATTCAGTAATACCGTCGATGTACTCCTTATCATCATCTAATAATCCATACTCATAACACGCATCCCTAAATGATTTGTGAATGACCCCCCCAACAGTGCGAATATCCTCGTGACTTGAAGGTCCACGTATGATATTTAAAAGACATCTTAGATAGTATAATTCTCCATACCCTGGAGGAACATAGAACAATCGTCCTATGGAGAATCCTTTCTTTCTTGGATGCCATTCACGCAAGTCTTGTCTCCAAACAAACTTACTGGGGAACTCTGCATAAGTGAGCGATCGAGCATCTTCGTGTTTTTTGTTTGCCTCAAACCAAGCTGTGAACTGGCTCTGCTTAACCGTTTGGTTCTCGACAATCTCGTCGAGGCTTTGATCTTCCCCATACACAACATTCTGTTGGTGCTTTAAGTGGAAATTTAACCTCTCGACAGGTGGTGTGCGATAATGGATCACTACCCAAACAGTCGCCAGGTGGCTTCACATGCGGATATACAGCGACAATCGTAGTACATGCTAATCTCATCAACCACATCACCATTGACTGCATTCACAGAAGTACTCATGAACTCTGCCGTGACTCGATCATTTCCTTTATTGACATATTTGAATAAATATTTGATCGATCTCAACTGGTTGCACCATTCAACGTTAATATGTGCGCGATATTTTAGAAACAGATGTTTATTATGCAGGACAACGTAACGGTTATCAAGTTGGATTCCATTCCTACTGATTGTGCCTCTATTGTCGCGCCTTTTGTAGATTGGGTAACCATCTTTATCTAGAATCGTCTGACTAACATATTTTTTGGGGAAATACTTGAACATTTACCATTTACCATGCATGGGGAATTCTTTCGGAGTTGTCCTCACGGTCCGTGCAACATAAATTCGCTAACTGCGTCAATGTACTCATTGTCAGCATCTGGGCCTGGAATCTCAGCAGAAATCAAGGCATCAATTTCCGGTGCAGAATGTGCCTGATTCATTCTTTTGGCAAATAGCAATATGTGCGTGTGAGGGAGTCATCTTTTCTGAAATTCAATTGTGTAGATAATTGTGCAGAAAATAAAAATTAAAAAAAAAATTATACATAGAATTTAGATTTAATTACGACACATTAAAGTATTTATGATAATCAAATACCTCCACAGATGTCGCCAAACAATTTTTTTGTCTTCTCTTCAATCATAGCATCAAGTTTCATCTTAAACACGCGACAAACAATATCGGGTCTATCCTCAGCTTTAAGTCCACGTTGTGCAACATAGCGCTCAATCTCAGGCCACTTCGGGTTGCATGTGAATGTTATGAATATATGAAGATAACCAATGTGCCTACATATTGCCATTGCATCTTGATAGTTTTGAATCATATACCTAGCTCCGCCTGTGAATGATGATGGCAGTATAATTCTTTTACCCCGAGTTGTGGGATCTAATTCGCCCCTTGTTAATACATCGCTCAACCCCTGATAAGCTTCACAACGCAACGCTTTCTGATGAGTTCTAATGTAGACCAAACGTGCATGTTCGATCATTGTATATGCATCAACCAAGTATTGTTGAAATAACCTCCTAGAATATAACAATGTATGCTTCTCATTTACCTTCTCATGTATATAGAATGAGAAATACTCTTTCGGGCTAATTCTTTTCCTACCACCATGATGTCCTTGGCTCCATGCATTAGAAAATGTAATATCTTCACGATGACCATCTTCACCATATGGGAACAACAAAGGGTACTGTAAGGGCAAATATACAGGGTTCAAATGGTTTATTCTCTTCAACTGTCCAGTCTGGCTCTCAATCAATATGTCCCGATCACCCATCGATGTGTCAAGGTCCCCGACAATAAGTGTTGCGACCTCATTAGCGGTAGGTAAATTGTATGTCCTTCCATCTGTATTCCGCCTGCCGATTAAATTCATTTTAACCTCAACAATTGGATTAGATTGAATTTTAGTTCTTGCCATTCTGAAACATTTTACCAAAACATTATTTTCGTCCAGCATATTCTTTAATTCCTCAACAATATTTTCGTGGATATCCCCTAAGTTAACATCTCTTATGCATAGGAAACAAACATACATAAATAAACAATATATTTCATTGTTGGTGTAAGCGAAACAAAATGTATAATGTATTTGGATACTTACGTAACAGAATTGATGCTATTTTTTATCTCATTATCTGTGTCGTAAATATATAATTGTGCAAACTTTGGCATGGAACCTTCTCCTGGAACCAAGCTTCTAATTCAATGATAATTTTGACCACTTATCTTAAAAATCGGAGGGCAGATACCGGTGTTGATTGACTTATCGACTCTACCTCCTAGAGATGTGAAGCAGAACATGTTATTATATATTAGAATATTGTTGAGGAAGTGTCTGCTCTGTTCATTATTGTCAAAGTATAGGCTCTAGAGAACAGGAGGAGGTTCCTTCATGCAAGGTAATTGTATCTTGCCCTCGTAGCAACATTTTGAGTATTTCGGCAATCTTCGCGTAACATTTTGATTTGAGCGCTCATGTCGCCAGTATAAGGCACCACAATAATTACAGGAATGAGAAGCATCTCCAAGGTCCAAATAGGAATCTAATTATATAAATAGTTAATATTTAATGAAGATGAACATAAAATATTTGTGAATTAATAAAAATGAAAATTACTAAGAATTGTGAGTTCAAAAAAATTACCATATCTGTTGTTTTCACATACAAAATGTTCCAAATCGGTATTTAAATTCCTTGCATTCGTTCTTGATGATATTGTACTGGAAGTTCTCACAACTGACCGCAAAGCACAATTAGATTGATGATGTGTTGGTCTTTGCACTGAATAAATCATAATAAATAGTTATTTATTATTGTAATAATGTTAAAAAGTTGTGCAAACATAATAGCTCTAACAAAAATGGAACAATTCGTGAACACTGTAATAAATATTACCGTTTGATACATCAACTAATGGTTGGCGTGATAAAGACATTGAAGTTGACATATTTGACATATTAAAAGAACGTGGAGTGGACGGTGGAGACATGTTGCGCACATCAACTGCAAATTTTTTATCAAAACATATTTAACATGAGATTAATAGTATATGTATATTATGTTATAATTCAAACATCTATAACCTAAAACTGAACGTATACGACATACAAAGAAATAGACGTATATTTAATATAAGAAAATGTTACCATCTGTTGAGACAGTGAAGGGTGTTGCCGATCGAATGTCACTGTTCAATGTGTATAAATTTGGGTTGGTAGCAACTGCAAATACAGTTAACGCGTAAAAATTAAATAATAATTAATTAAATAAAATGATATTAAAAAATTATTTAGCATCGACGGATAAAATAATATTTTGAATATAACATATACCATTTGTGATTGCACTCAAAGGTGTTCCTCTAGTGTCCACGTGATTATCTTCGACCAAACTTTGATGAACATTAACTATTGCAAAAACAAAAAAAACAAAAAAACAAAAAAAAAACAAAACAAAAATACGGAGAAATATAAGTGTTTAAATCATTCTCATATAATAGATTCAATTAAGACAGAAGTATGAATGGTACTCTAAATTGTAATAATTTTGGAAATAATAATAACAAATAAATGCATGATAATTAATATGAACATGTTAATTGTAAGTAATCAATAATTTGTAAGGATAAAAATACTGAATATGTATTTATTAGAATTTAAAAGTTATTACGAATAATGTGAATGTTAAAATTTAATACCATTGCTTGACATATTAATATGTGTTCTTGGAGAGGAAATCATAAATTCACCGTACAATAGTTCACTACCTGCCATTGCAATTATTTATATGAAGTTAGGAAATTTAAAAATGATCCAATAAAATAGTTACTAATGACTGTGCTAAAAAATTCTATTTATCAGTCATTGTTGGAGTAACTGGTCTAACTCCTGGTGCACCAATAGTTGATTGTAATGATGATTGAGCATTATGAACCGATATATTTGATCGCAACAACGATGCTTGTGTATTATGCTGATTACACAACGACTCGTTTTCTAAAAAAAATAAATTGATAAAATTTAAATTAGTGTGAAGGAATGAGTAATGATGACGATAAAGACAAATAAGATTGTTTAGTACCAAAAATTGAATAGTATAAATTATTTACATATTTATTAGTTAAGCATTTGTATCTTACATTTTTTCATTACATATACACAAATAACAATGATTTATCCCAATGCAATACTCTCTTAAAGTTTAAAATTTTTTAGGAATCAGTAAGCTATTCCCACTAAAATATTAAAATAAGTTGTTGGTTAACTAAAACACAATTTGTATCTCCAAACAATTAATCAATTAAGTGATTAACTCAAATTTTGTGAACTGAAGTTTTAAATTTGTAAAATAAAATCTATAATAATAAATCTACAATTTTATTATTATTATTATTATTATTATTATTATTATTATTATTATTATTATTATTATTATTATTATAAAATGAAAACATACCCACCCGTATTCTTTCTTAACTTAAATGACATTCGTACAGTAGGCAGTTCCACAGCACAAAACAAATGAAATCCCTAAATTCTTTGCCCCATATCAAATGTGAAGAAATAGCGAGAAGCAGAATCAGATGCAAGATGCAATGGGAAAGGAGAAGGGCGAGAATCAGATGCAAGAAGCAATGGGGAAGAAGAAGAGCGAGAATCAATGGCAGCAAGGATGAATCGATTTGGGTTCGTTTTTTTCAATGTTTTTTTTTTTTTTTTGGTTTTTTTGTTTTACTTTTATTTGTGAATTAAAAAATATAGTTTCTGTATTTGTTGTGTGTTCTGAATTTTGAGGATGAAGGCTTTCGTGATGAGTTGATAGGTTTTTTCATTTATTATTTACTTTTAATTTGTGAGTTTAGATGTGCATGTGTTCTTGAGTGTTGTCTATGGCTTCCAATGAGAGGGGGATGTGTTCTTGAGTGTTGTCCATGGCTGCCAGTGAGAGGGGAGAAAAGAAGGGGATTGATGGGTAAATTGGTCTTATAGAAATTAACCGCTCTACCCCAATTTCAGAAACCAAAAAAAAAAAAAAAAACACAGAACAGAAGCACAACTAAATAGACTTTCGTTAACAATCATAGAAGAAGATTAATAATTGCAAAGAGACAGATGTAGGTATTAAACACTACTACTTATTGAAACAGACAAACAGTACATATTCGAGATTGAATAAAAAATTATAATTAAATCTGACCTTTGTCTGTGATCTTTTGTTTCTTCCTACCTCTTAGTATTGTATTGTCGATCCCGTTAGTTTCTTCATCTTGCTGGTTGTGTGAATTCTACTAAGAGCATCCACAATGGTTGGGGAGAATTAGGGGGATAATGTAAGAGTGATTAGGAAAGAGAAGATGGGAGGGGAGAGAAAAAAGAAAGAAAAAAAATAAAACTAATTTTTTTTAAAAAATAAAAATAAAAAAAGGACGCGTCAGGCGTGCTGTCAGCGTGCTTGACCGTCACACGGGCGCGTGCAGTGTTTTGCCACAAGCTGTGCGCGAACGCGCACAGCCTGTGTTGCTTCTTTTTTTTTTTTTTTTTTTTTTTTTTTTTTTGTATTTTCTTACATTCACCCCACATTTGCAGTAATATTATTTCTCAAATAACCTACACCCACATCAGCTATTATCTTGGGTGGGGAGAATTAATTCTGAAATAACTCCAAATAAACCACAAGTGTGGATGCTCTAAAATGATTGGAGATATGAAAACATTAAAGAATAGTTCAATTTGGAGTGCAAATTTATAATATTACATATGGAAATAGTAATTAAATATGTAAAATTATTTTAATGAATGTAACTTATAATAGGGAATTTTTATTAGGACTATTAGGACTCTATTATCCATATTAGACTATGACTATATTATTCGTGTTAGACTAGGATTCTATCTAGCAACTCTATATATTCGCTCCCTGTACTCTCAGACATTATTATTGAATACAACACAATTATATTCTCATCTGGTATCAGTTAGCCAGGGTTTTCTTTTCCAACATCCATGTTCCTCAGTTTGTAGCAGTAGCCGATGGCATCAAACCAAGATACATCGTATCAGAAGCGGTCCGGTCAACGACGTGACGTTGATGATCCGTGTCAAATTTGTAACGGTTTCGGCCACACGGGAGCCCATTGTGTTTGGCGTTATGATGATCCGTGTCAAATTTTTGACCGTTTTGGTCACACGGGAGCCAATTGTTTTTGGCGCTATGATGATCCGTGTCAAATTTGTGACCGTTTTGGTCACACGGGAGCCAACTGTTTTCGGCGTTATTTAGGGGCTCCGAGTTTTCAGGCTAATGTGGCCGTCTCTGGTGATAATGGTGATTCCAACGGTCCTCATCAGTGGTTCCCTGACACTGGTGCTACAAATCATGCAATGCCTGATTCTTCTTTGATGACTTCTGCGACAAGTTATGATAGCCGGGAGACTCTGCGAGTCGGCAATGGTACATGTTTGCCTATTGTTAATGTTGGTTCTGCTTCGTTAGCCACTGATTCTATGTCTTTTAAGTTACATGATGTTTTGCATGTCCCTGGTCTCTCTTCTTCTCTATTATCTGTCCAGCGTTTTGCAAAGGACAATAATGTTTTCTTTGAGTTCCACCATCTTTGTTTCTATGTGAAAGACATTTTGACCAAGAAGGTTCTTTTTAAGGGACATGCGTCTGGGGGTCTCTACACATGGCCTGCGTCTTCTGCTTCCCCTGCTGCATTTGTTGCTGCACGGTCCTCTTACGTTTGGCACATGCGGTTGGGGCATCCTCATTCTCGAGTCTTACGTAAAATTTTAGCGTCTTCGTCTGTTGGTACATTTAATTCTAGTGATCTTCCCAATGTCTGTTCCTCTTGTCAATTAGGAAAATCTTCTCGTTTTCCTTTGTCTCGTGTCGAAACTACTAGTACGCATCCTTTGGAATTAATTTATTCAGATATTTGGGGCCCTGCGCCATTACTTTCTGCATCTGGCTTTAAATATTTTGTGTTGTTTGTGGACGATTACACTCGTTATATGTGGTATTATCCCATGCGTGCTAAATCTGATTTGTATGCTATATTTGATAAGTTTCGGTCACTAGTTGAACGTTCCTTTTCTCGCAAGATTATTTCTTTTCAATCTGATTTAGGGGGAGAATATAAAAAGCTTGGTTCCACTCTTGCGTCCTTAGGTATTCGTCACAGGCAATCATGTGCGTATACTCATGAACAAAATGGCAGGGTAGAACATAAGCATAGGCATGTTGTTGAAACGGGACTAGCATTAATGGCTCAATCCTCTGTTCCGTCTTGTTTTTGGGATTATGCTTTTGAAACTGCGGTTTATCTAATCAATAAAATGCCCACTCCTGTCTTATCTGATAAATCTCCTCATTATCTTTTGCATCGGTCTCCTCCATCTTATTCATATATGCGTGTTTTTGGGTGTTTATGATTTCCAAATCTGCGTCCCTATAATCGCAACAAACTACAGTTTCAGTCATCCTCTTGTGTCTTTCTAGGATATCCTCCATCTTTACGTGGCTATCGTTGTTTAGACACTAACACTAACAAGGTTTTTATCTGTCACCATGTGCGATTCGATGAGGCTGTCTTTCCTTTTGTTGCTTCTGTGGATTCGCAGGTTCCAGAACCACGCCCGGAGCCGTGGGGTGTTGCACCAATTGTTTTTGGTGGTGATCCGACTATTGTCACGGCTCGTGACCCTCCTGCCGCGCCCATAGCCGCTTCTGACCACCACCGCCAGCAGCCTGCTACTGCCGAGCCCGTGACCGAGTCTGAGCGGACAGTCATGGACCAGCCGGCTCCTCGGCCAAGAGGCCGGCCTCGTGGTCGGTCTCGTCATGTGCCCTCACCCGTTCGCTCTCATGGAATGAATACGAGAAGTTCGGGACCACATGATCATGTTGCTTTATCTGCTGCTGCTGTTACTCCTGAACCTACATGTTTTACTCAAGCGGTTAAATTTCATGAATGGCGGGATGCAATGGATTTGGAATTTAATGCCTTGGTGCACAACAATACATGGAGGCTTGTTCCCTTTAAATCAGGTATGAATGTAGTTGGATGTAAGTGGTTGTTTAGAACCAAGAGAAAGGTTGATGGTTCGATTGAGCGTTACAAGACTCGGTTAGTTGCCAAGGGATTCAATCAAATTGCCGGCGATGATTTCTTTGAGACCTTTAGTCCCGTTGTTAAACCGACTACGGTACGTCTTCTTTTATCCTTAGCTATTTCTCGTGGATGGACTATTCGACAGTTGGACATACACAATGCTTTTCTAAATGGCAATCTCACTGAGACGGTTTATATGCGTCAGCCCCCTGGTTATGAAGACAAAACGATGCCCGGGCACGTTTGTCCCCTTCAACGTTCTTTATATGGGCTTAAGCAAGCTCCCCGTGCTTGGTTCACTCGTTTGCATGATTTTCTGGTTTCTGCTGGTTTCTCACATTCTAAGACGGTTGTCTCTCTATTTATATATTCACATGGAAATACTCGTTTATATTTTCTGGTTTATGTGGATTATATTTTGGTTATGGGATATGATCCGGCTCATGTGACTGCTCTTATTGACAAGTTGGCTCTTGAGTTTAAAGTTCGTGATATGGATGTGCCCTCATTCTTTCTAGGTATTGAGACCATTCCGTTGTCTGATGACATGCTTCTGTCTCAACAACGGTACATGAAGGATATTCTAAAACGAGCAGGTATGGTTGATTGCAAGCCCGTGGCTACTCCGGTTTCAACCACGAAGGCCGAGACTGATGCCGTGGTACCATACGCTGATCCCACTCAGTATCGCAGCTTTGCAGGTGCTCTGCAATATCTTACAGTAACTCGGCCTGATCTTTCCTATGCAGTCAATCGTTTGTGTCAACACATGCACTCTCCCTCTACTGCAGATTGGGCGGCTCTCAAGAGGGTGTTACGGTATGTAAATGGGACACTACATCTTGGTCTTAAGATTACGTCTTCTCCTTCTCTAGATATTCATGCATATTCTGATTCGGATTGGGCTGGCAATCCTGATGATCGCAAATCTACTAGTGGTTTTGATGTATTTTTGGGGACCAATCTTGTCTCATGGGTTTGTCGAAAACAACGTACTGTGGCTTGTTCATCAACTGAGGCTGAATACAAAGGACTGGCTGATGTCTCTGCAGAGGTTACTTGGCTCGTCTCTCTGATGAAGGAAATCGGGTTTGCGCCACCTTCTGTGCCCAAACTCTGGTGTGACAATCTGGGAGCTACTTATCTGTGTGCTAATCCGGTGTTTCATGCTCGCACCAAGCACATTGAGATCGACTACCACTTTGTTTGTGATAAAGTCGCGAAGAAGGAATTACAAGTCAATTTTATTTCTACCAAAGATCAGATAGCGGATACTTTTACTAAGTCTCTTTCGTCTGTACGTTTTAATTTACTCCGTTGCAAGCTCAATGCTTTGGCTGACCAACCTTGTGCTTGAGGGGGAGTATTAGGACTATTAGGACTCTATTATACATATTAGACTAGGACTATATTATTCGTGTTAGATTAGGATTCTATCTAGCATCTCTATATATTCGCTCCCTGTACTCTCAGACATTATTATTGAATACCACACAATTATATTCTCATCATTTGAGCATAATTGTATCTTTGATTTATTTACTTGATTAAATTATTTGTAATATTCTATTTTGTAATGTATTCCATTTAGCACATTTTCATTTTAGGTTATACCGAATGCAGAATTTCATTAATTTTTTTACCTTTAACTTAATTTAAATTTGTCTTATTTGGCAATGTCGATTTAGTTTACGATTAGTCTGCTACCTCAGAGGTAACTACATTCATATAATATAAATCATTAATATTTTCAAACATATATATTTTCTCTTTTAATATTTATCGGTGTCGGTGAAAATACAGTTCAAGCCAAGGCCTTATAAGCCACTTTATGGCGGTGGACTTCTGAAGTGTCAGAAGCGTAGTGCATTCAAGTAATAGTGTATCAAAAGACTTGAAAGGTATTTTATTCGAAGCATAGCGGTTTGGAGAGGGAGAATCTCAGCCTGAAAAGGTTTCATGATCATCAAAGGAGGTATGAAGAAGAAGAAGAAGAAGAAGAAGAAGAAGAAGAAGAAGAAGAAGAAGAAGAAGAAGATCATCTCTGCAAGAAATGTGGCAAAGTTTTTGATTACATAAGGGCTCTGAATGGACATATGCATATTCACTCCAAAAGATCCAGGTTTTCCCGTGAAGAATCAGTGGAGAGCTTATCATACATGGAGAATCAGTGCCCCCTTCGGAAGAAACAATTTGCAATAAGGTAGGAAGTTTCTGAGAATTATCCATTTTCTGTTGCTTCTGATTTAGAAGAAGTTGCTGTGTGCCTGATGATGCTCTCAAGGGGTTTTCAACAATGGGACTTTGTTCTTTGAAACCGAAATAATTTACAACTGAAACTTAGAAAAATATAAAGCTTGTTTGGAACTTAAGTTTAAACTCTGTAAATCTGTTTTCACATCTGGTTCTGTTTTGTAAATCTGCCATGAGTCTCAACTGGGCTTAGAATAAACCACAACTTGCTTTGACTTTTTATAGTACAAATTGCACTATTATTTTAAAGTAATAGTTCCATTTTCTTTACATTGCAACTTATCACTGATGTAAACATTGCTGTAGCTGTTGAAGCATTACAATAAATTGGAAATCTTGCTAGGGGAGTAAGAACCCATTTTGCAGCAAGCTCACGGTTGTACACTTTCATGGATATGAACCTGCAATCTGGATCATAAAAGACACCTCATAAGTAAAAGGTAAGTTGTTCTGTTATCTTTGTTCCATGGTAATATAACTTTGTTCACGAATAGTATTAGAAGAACAAAGTGTAAAAAGTAAGAATCATAATGTAGTCTGAAAAAAAAAACTACTTTGCCATACAGGCACAGTTGACTTTAAAAACAATAATCACCAACTAAAAGCTAACAGAATAAACCATTTGTTTAGCATGAAGTATATTAAAAACTAAACAAATCACCAACTAAAATGAGCAGCTAAAAATTTATATTGTTTATGATTAAACAACAGCAAATCAACATATAGTATCATGGATTTGGTTCATTCTTAGGCTTCTTTAAATTCTTTGAAGATGATGAACAATCCATATTTATTCTCTTCAAAGACTGCTACTTTAATTTGGATTAGACAATGATATAGCTTGCAGTGGTTCAATCCCCTGGTGGAAAACAATTAAAAACATTAGCATTAAAACTATTTAAAACACTGTATAAAAATATGTTAAAGATAGTACAAACTTGTTCACTGCTATCTTTGAACTCTTTTTCATTAGCAAGCTTCCTAACCACACTTCCTTGTTCTCTTTTATTGACTGAAGTACATACTCTCTCATCATTTTCCACTCCTAGAACAGTAAAAGCAACATTTCCATCATATTTGAATTGATCTTGTCGTGTGACTATCTTGAATTTCATTGTCTTTCCAATCAATTCTTGAATCTCATTGGGCATACAACCCTCCTATGTGAATCAAATAAAGATTAAAGTAGAAATTATAAAACTTCTAAACTTGATGTGATTCCATCGCAGTCCTATACGAAGTTGATTACCAACAATATCAGTGTGATGTTCAGCTACCATTGAAAATCTGTGTAAAAAAAAGTACAAAAGCATAAATACGTTTGTAGGTGAGAGCTTTGAGTTTAGCACAATGGTGACTTTAAATAGCAAATCTTTAATTATTACTATATTTAATTCTTTAATTATTTTTTTACTCTAGGAAATCACACGGAATATTTAATGCTTTTAATATTAATTAACACACGTATGAAATTATTCTTTCCATGATCAGAAATTATTTTATTATCTAGGAAATCACACGGAATATTTAATGGTTTTAATATTAATTAACACACGTATGAAATTATTATGAAATTATTCTTTCCATGATCAGAATAACATATGGAGCGATTGTGGAGCAAAATGTGGTGCAAATCACACGAAATATTAAATGCTTTGAATATTTATTAAGTTTCACGCATATTTGACGAATATATATGAATTTAAATTAATACCCCTAAGTTTGGGGGGGGGGGGGAATTGTTTTGGAGGATTTTACTTATATATATAGAGATATAGATATAGATTAGTGAAATTTTAAGTGACTTAATCTTCAAATAAAGGTTTATATGTATAAATTATAGAAGGATAATTTTATTTTCAGAATATTTTTTCTAAAAATAAAATCTCTTAGGGGTGTATTTAATCATGACTTTTATAAACTTACTTTTATGAACTTTAACACGGTGTTTGGTTGGAAGGAATGAATTAGGGAGAAAAGAATTGTAATCCAATGTGAAAAGAATAAAGTGGGAATAAAGTAGGAATTCAAATTACATTGTTTGGTAGAAAGGAATAGAATTATTGGGGATGAGAAAGAAGAATAAAGACTAAAATGCACTTGTCTAATAATAATGCTAACAATAATCAAGGGTAAAACATATTCATCCCTTTTCCCTTTCCTTTCTCATTGAATTGCAATTCATATGGGGGAGGGTATGAATTGGAATTTAATAAAATGAGGGATTGCAATTATGTGGAATTGCAATTCCCTCAAACCAAACACGTACTATAATTCGGGTGGCCAAAGAATTGGGCTGTAATTGAATTCCAACCAAACAAGTCATAAAAGTTTGGAGGTATTCAATTCAAACTTTTAGAGAGTCTTTAACGGACTGTTTGGTTGCCGTTTAGGTGTAGTTGAATTGCAATTTCGCGGAGACCACAATTACGTCGTTTGATTGGACTACTACTACCACTACCACTGCCGCAGCTACTGCTACTACTACTACTCCTCCTCCTACTGCTACTACTACTCCTCCTACTGCTACTGCTACTGCCACTGCTACTACTACTACTGCTACTGTTACTGCTACTGCTACTGCTACTGCTACTACTACTACTACTACTACTACTACTACTACTACTACTGCTACTACTGCTACTACAACTACTACTACTACTACTAAATAATTTTTTTTCCTAGTGTTTGAACTCTTCATTTGTTCCCTGCGTATATATTTCGTGTGTGTGCGCCTACGTATATACTCTCTCATTTCTTCGGTCCGAATATCTCCTCTGTCTGGTCTCTGTCCACCTTTTTTCTGTCCGAGAAATATTACTTCATCTTCCCTTCACCTTTTTAGCCTCCCTACACACCTTCTCGCTTCCTTCAACCGATTGTTTTAGTTTTTTTTTTCTTCGGCGAGGTGGAAGAGGCTTGTTTCCAGATAATTCTTCATCTGCATGCACCGATTTATTTTTTCTCCGGTTTCCTACGCTCCATTTTCTCAGTTTTACCCCACCCCCTATCGGAGCTGTAATGTGCGATCTGGAACATGCATGACCAGATCTGTAAGATCTGGAACCGAGAACTGGACATGATCGGGTCTACAAATACAGAAGGTGTCTTTTTTTTTTTTTTTTTTTTTTTTTTAATTTTACCTAGCTTTTGTTTATTTAGGTTTTTTTTTTTATAATAATTATATACAGTCATGGCTTTGACATATATATTGTATGTACAATTACCTACAAAAATCCTTCATGCATATATATATGTTTGTTTTTTAGACTGTTATTACATCAAATAGTATATTTGTATTCCAACATCTTTTTTAATCTGCTTTTCTCACCTATAGAACAATTATTGTATTTTTCTTTGTGGTAAATCATACTTTTAATGGGCACATATTGAAAGCAAAGCACAAAATCATGGAAAAAGACCTGCATTATAAGTTTAAAACATGAACAACATGTATTGAATAGTACCTCTATCTTCAACCGTTTAATTTCTTTTGCCACCAATGGTAGTTGACCCCTTCAACTCTCATTGTTCTTTACTCTGTTAAGTATTATCTTCAAAAGGTTCATCCTTTAGCATGAATATACATTGAACATGTTCCTCAGTTCAATGACTTCTATAGATAAGCCTCTAGATTACTTTATTCTGATTATCAATGCAATGAATTTTTTTTCTTTACTACAACGTAAATTTGTCAAAACAAATGCAATGCATTTAGATACATAAAAAAACTTAATTTGGTATTTAAGTGGTAATCTACTGACTACTAACGAATAAGGAAGAATAATAAGCAAAACATTTTCATTGTTGCATGACTTATCTCTTGATTATGAAATAAACATTCTCGCCTTTTAATATATTTACTTGTTCTGCTTTCAGTGGCCAAATATGTGTGCACTAAACCTAAGCGAATAGCTTTGGTGGTCTGTTGAGGGTGAATCAGCCAACAAAGAATGAAGTGCAGACATCTTAAGAATCCCTGAATTACCTCTTAAACAATATGGTGCTTTCGTGATGTTGTTCATGATTTTACTAACTTATGTATCTCTATATATAAAGAGAGATTTTGTGTGTCTGACAATCTCATATTTATTGCATGCACGGATGCGAAGAGTTATTATTTTTGAAACAACACGTTTCTTTGTCCCCAAGGATTCAACTCCGGGAAGGGCAATCTCTTCAACCAATAAAAAATAACGCAAAAAGAAAAAGAAAAATAAGCAGGAAGAAACTGGTGTCGTTTACTTTTGGGCGGGAATTTCTCACCAAATCTATTTTGCTTTATTATAGTTAGGAGCTTTGTGTAAGGAATTATGTTGTCAATGAAACAAGGGGAGAAAACAACATAAGAAACCAAGAATGTGTTTTTCAAGATCAACAGGTTCTTAATTTTTTTTTCTTTTTCCTTTCTCTTTAACTGTTGTTACCTTCTTCTAAATATGTCATTTTTGGTTGTTTGGAATATAGGGTATGTTTATTAACGTACACATACCTAAGGACATTGTTTGCAAATAATAGAATGACTTCAAGGAGGGAAAAGTTTAAGGGATTAGGAATTTCCTATGTATCACTAACTTTTTCAAATACAAAACAAGCATTTTGCGTTATATGATAAAGTTCAAGCATGACACTATTGTGAAGCAGTATAAGCGTATTAATTTTCCTAAAATTATGTTTCGGTTCAAGACTTTCCCTGCCATACTTCCAAAACAAGATGTTGATGAGAAAATGTTGATGCGTAAGTGTTTGATAACCAAAATTGTAACCTGGAAATTGTTTGTTTCAAAGAAACAAACAAAAGTGTGACATACTATGTTATTAACATATGTTTTTAGATGCGATTGGTAGAATTGTGAAGATTTATTCCCCACTAGAGAAGGTTATAGCTGGAAAAATTAAAACAAAAAACAAACAAACAAACAAACAAGACTGATAGACTTTGTCCTTGAAGATTTGAGATAATTTTTTTTTTTTTTTTTTTTTTTTTTTTTTTACTTTGGTTCTATGTATTACAATAATTCAGCTATATATTACACTCTGAATATATGTGTTTCAATTATGTGTGCAGTAAAATTCAGATTAAGTGCACACTTTGGGATGACCATGTTGATCAACTTATTCCTTATTTCAATAAAGATGTTGCTAATCCAGTGATACTTTTGATCCAACTTTTTCGGGCCAAGTTTATGGACAGTAAGTGTAACTTTGTATTTACTTCACACATAATTCCAAACCTTAATATCTTATGTTTGGCAGATGGTGAAGTGCGCATCTGCAGCTCTTTCGATGCAACTCAGTTGTTTTTCTCTCACCCCTGTAAGGAATTTGTTGTATTGAAGAGCAGGTGAGTGTACCTAGGAAATCTTTCCTAATTTCATCATTGTTCGTAATGAATCCTTAAATGTTTTCTTGCTGTGTTGTTTTAATAGCTTCATAGGTGACTCTAACCCATTGAGGTGTATTGATTCCTCATCTAGGCTTGATGTTGGTCTTCCTAATGATGGTGTTCCTTCTAAGGAAGTGTTGGTCAATTCTATTGAGGAGATTTACAGCAAAAAACATGTAAGCTATGATTTTATCATTGTAATCTACTTCTGTTTGTATATAGTTACCTAAACTGTAAATTTAGGTAACTATATGTGGTTGCTTTTATCAAATTAGGTAAATATATATGGCAACCATTTAGTAGCTAACTGTTAAGGTTTTGTTCTCATTTAGCAAGTGTTTGTGAGTGATGATGAAGCCTGTGTTGGGCTGGACAATGTTTCTTAAGACTTTGAGCCGAAGCAGCGTGTTGAGCTTGATGAAATTCCTGAGGATCTAGATGATGAGGCTGTTGTTGTTTCTCTTAAGAGGTGTCTAATGAAAGATTTTGATGACATAGTATATATATATATATATATATATATATATATATATATATATATATATATATATATATATATAAAATAAAGTTCAAATGCGGCGGGGTCTTCCCGTGCGGTCGTGCGGCGGAATTCCAGAATACACCAACAGTGTTAACAATATTGCACCAACAGTGTAATAAAAACACACCCCAATGAAATGCAATAAAACATCACAAAATACACAACATACTCAAAAAAATACACCATATAACTCACCACCCCCAATGGTGTATTTCCGAACAGTGTATGGTGTTTTTACTCACACCTAATGGTGTGTGTTTGGTGATGCGGGGCTCTGTTTACTCTGTTTTGTGTGGTGTACTTTCCTAACGTTGATGGTGCATATTTGTTGAACTATTGGTGTTGCCGCACCGTAAGAAATTGCCGCACCGTAAGACACTGCCGCACCTGAACTCGCGTGTATATATATATATATATATATATATATATATATATATATATATATATATATATATATATATATAAAATTTAAGTTATAGACCAAAAGCCCAAAATCCAAAACAATAGCCCAACAGTATATATACTTATATATACAATTTATAAAAATTGTTCCAAATCAGATTTTTTTTTTTCTACAATCCAACATTAGATCCATGGCCCAAATATAGGTTAAAAAGCTAAACATACAATCATTATTCTGTGGACCATGGTGCACACAAGTTGTATGTACCATATTTTGTATACTGTAAAATAATGTACATTCAATACAAAAATAATGTACATTATATTCAGGGGATGTATATTATTTTTGTACTGAGTGTACATTATATTGTATAATGTACATACAGTACAAAAATAATGTAAATTTAGTATATTAAAAATGTACTTTTTGTTATGGTCCACATAACATTTTGTGGACCATGGTCCACACAATAATTTGCCCTAAACCTAGCTTCAGACACATTTCTCATATTTCCTTGTCTATACCCTTCTTCTTGCCTCTATCTGAACTTTAAACTCAGTCCTTTCTCTATCTACGAATCTAGCTAGAATGTTCATTCTACTGTGCATCCTCTCATCGTTAATCCGTCAATTTTTGAATAGATCTAGCTTAGTTGTTGCAGATCTGCCCCGCAACAAATCTAAGGAAAATCCAACATCAAATAGCTATGAATATGTTAAGGTAAGGATCAATAATTTTTTTCCCTACTGTTTGAACTCTTCATTTGTTCCCTGCGTATATACTTCGTATGTGTGCGCCTACGTATATACTCTCTCATTTCTTTGGTCCGAATATCTCCCCTGCCTGGTCTCTGTCCACCTTTTTTCTGTCCGAGAAATGTTACTCCATCATCTCTCCACCTTTTTAGCCTCCTTACACACCTTCTCGCTTCCTTCTACCGATTGTTTCAGTTTTTTTTTCTCCGACGAGGTGGAAGAGGCTTGTGTAACACCTCGTGTTACGACCCCTAAAACCGATTAATCATTTAACCAATTGCCCAAAAGAAAGAATTAAATTACAATAATTAACTAGGAAAAGGCCCACCATAGTCCATGGGCCCTCACCCCTAAAACCCAACCCCTAGCCCTAAAAGGAATAGAATTAGCAAACCTATAATATTAGTTCCTAATTAGGACTCCTAGATATATAAATAGGGGACTTAAGAGGCACCTAGAACCCCCCACCACAATAATCTCTCACCACACCAAGAATTCCAAGAATTCCCCTAGGAGAAATCAAGAAAGAAGAAAGATTAAAGAAAGACCCTTCATAGCCAAGGAATTAATTAAGGCTAAGAGGTAACCCATGTCTCAACAAAACCTATTTTCATAGCTATGATTCCCCCCTTAGGCTTTCCCCATATTCTTGTGTATTGATGATTCGTTATATTGATCTTGATGATTGGTGTTATGATTTCATGGGTGAACTTGATAATCTTGATAATGAAAAGAGATTCTTGATGATTGTGTGATTCTTGATGAAACATAGATTCTTGACGATTATGTGCTATTCTTGATTGTTCTTGATGTTAAAAGATGAATTACGTTCTTGTTAAATTGATTATGTCTAGAGCCCTAGGTTGTATCGTGAAACTCGTATGGAGTTATTCTTGATGTATTGGGTGGGAATTCGCATGTTTGGGTGTTAATTATGTTTAGAAAAGCATGATAGGATACTTGCCGTATATTTCTTGCTTTTGATCCATTAATTGTCTACGTGTTGTTATCAATTGTGTTTAAAAGTGTCTAAGCATGGTTTCAGGTTCCACAAAGGTTCCCAGGGCGTTTTTGTGATGAAAGAGTCAGTGGGGGGTAGGGGACCCGCCACCTACCCGCGGCCCATTTGGGTAACGCCGGCAGCGGGCAGCCGGCGGGCGGGCAGCTGCCCGGAGTCACGCCACCGGCGGGCAGCCGGCGGGTGAACCCTCACCCACCGGCTACCCGCTGGAAAATACCGTACCTCGGGTTTCCGGCTTCCCCGTTTGATGTTCCCCCGACCCCCGTGGCGTCCCAACGGACTCCGTCCATCGTGCCTATGTCTAGTTTGATGTTCGGGTACCATTCGTAGGTTGAATAAGTCTTATATATATTGCATGCTAGTGAATCGGTATCCCGTTGACCTAGGTATGAGAAGTATGAACCCCTTAGGATTATTCTTAGTATGTGGATGACCACGCATAAGTTTCGTTATACGATTTATTCCCCCTTCCCAATGTGCTAATGTGAGCTGCATGTACTTGCTATGTGTTATGTGTGCATGTTACCCCAATTTGGTTGCGATCAAATTGATTATACGGGCAGTTGGATGGGTTGAGAACCATACTGACTGTTAACCAGGCCGGTTGTGATCGGTCAGGTATATAAATATTATATAGGGCTGCGGTCCACCGTTTGGTTGCGATCAAACGTTCTACATGAGCTGCGGTTCATTTTCCTGGCTGCGGTCAGATGACATACTCTTGGGCTGCGGTCCACTGTTTGGTTGCGATCAAACTATGATGAGCTGCGGTTCATCGGTCGGTTGCGATCAACCCCTCCGTGTTGCGATACGGGGCAGGGTGCTGCGGGGCCGTGTCACAGCTATATGCGCTGACCCTCATGTATGGGCATGCGATTGATCCTGTGGCGCCAACTGTAACACCCCAGATGTTCAGGACATTTAAAACTTATAAAATAAAGGTAAAATCTCCTTAAATCCCAAAACATAATACAAGAGTACGGGGTGCTATGCCACACCTGAGCTAGAGAACTCAGGTGCACAGGCTAACTAACTAATTTCCTCAATAATGTAAATGCATAAACATGGCACGCAGGCCGAAAGGGAAACTATCTACTTCTACGTTCCGAGTTCTAGCGCACTCCAGTGACTTATTCTTCTGTGCCTGAAAGCCAAATATATCTGTTCAGCGAGAAATGCTGGTAACCCACTCCAACGCGTTGAAATACAATACATATAGATATATATATAGATATACGAAAACCATTTTGAACATGAAGATATATCCTACGAACTCTAGCTTTTAAAACAGGGATAGACTCAACAGATAGGGCTAAGCACAGACAGCAGTTATACCAAGCATATACAGTGTAGATAAGATAAGCACAATTAATAATCATAACCCAACATATACGATCCTCGGTACAAATCCCATAGTCTCATCCCCATGATACTCATAACAACAACTCATCCATACTTCATCACATAGCACACTTTGTTGGCGCCACAGGACCAATCACATGCCCATACATGAGGGTCAGCGCGTATAGCTCTGACACGGCCCCGCAGCACCCTGCCCCGTCTCACACTACGGAGGGGT